AAAGGAAGGAAGCAGTCCATGCAGAAATGTCTAGGCGGAAACCACAGGACCAGACATTCCAGAACAGGCTGCACAAACTGGAGCCAGCATGAGGAGTGGCAGAGTAATAGAAACACCTTCTGGAATGTCATTTGCATACCTGCATCCACCCCTCAATCAGACACCTCCCATTTCACCTGCTGACAGCCAAAAGAATATACCTGGTATATCCCAAGCCACCCATGTTGAAAAATTTTTAACATCTCATCTAAGCATGTGGTCTGCCTTGGTGATGCCTGGTCATCTGTAAATAAAGTGAACTGGAGAGCCAAAGGGCACAGCAACAAATTCCAGGAACTCAAGCTAAAATACAGTCATGGAGTGGGGTAATGTCAAGATGACAGGAAGTTTAAAGTATCAGAGAGGGTGGTTTTAAATCTGGGTTGTGGTTTGTAGCAGTAAAAGAAGGTATGGTGCTACCCTTACTGGCACTATGTTTAAAGCTTCAGGGAATTAACAACTGAGCAATTGATGATCTGTGTAATGAGAAACACAGCTAACTCTCAAGAGTTACACACACACAAATGCTGGCTGTGGTGTCACAACATTTGTAATCCCAGCACATGGAATCAGAGGCAGGAGGTTTATGAGTTTGAGGTCAGCCTTGGCACTGTAGGGAGACAACCTACCCACCTACCCAAAGCAACATAGCACCAAACACAGACAGGTATCTGACCATCAAGATTCTGGCTGGCAGAGGAAAGGCAGACTGGAAATCTGAGCATTAGCCAGGAATCCTGCTAATGAGAGCTCATGATTCCTCCCACAGATCCCCAACACCAACTCCTCTGAAGGCAGCACAGCTCACTCACTATCATTTAAACATAGTCAGCTTTCATGCCACCATCCCCTACTCACGCCATTGTATCCACCTGGAATGTTCTCCACCCACAGGTCCACCTATATGAACACTACTCATCCTCTGGGACTTAGATCAGCTTCTCTTCGGGGTGTTTCTGAGTCAACCTGTGGGGTTTCTCCCTCTTTTGAACTTCCAAAACAATTATGTTTACAGAATTACTTGGCAAATTCTTAGCTCTATAAAGCTTATCTCCTTTTCTGTTTTCTGAATTAATAGCAAATTTGGCCTTTCTCCCTGTGTTCAGTGACATACCACCTCTCTGAGATAATTCTTTGCATCTACCCATCTCATCCATCCTCTAGAGGACCTTAAACAATCACACCATTCTCTTCTGCGCACACAGAAGTCAGGTTCTCCCTAATAATTCCAACCTTTTAAAGTTTGCAACCAACCAATATAAAAGCCTTAGAAAAAACATTCTAATTGTTGTCCTTCAATTTACTTTAAAAAAAAAAAAAAAAAAAAAAAAGGTTCAGGACACACTCAGCAATAGAGCAGTTTCTTGGCATGCAGAGTCCCTAGCCTAGGTTAGACACCCAGCACTGACAATATTAATAATGATGACATTTTTTTAAAGCCACTAGCTCTATTACAGAGGGATGAGGAGGTGTTTTTGTTTACTTTGCCTTTTCTTTTCTGTTGGGGTGGGGGTGGTTTGTAAGACAGAATTTCAGTATGTACCCCATGCTAGACTTTGAAAGCTTCCTACCTCAACCTCCTGAGTGCTGGGATTACAGGAGCAGGCTACCATATCTGGCAAACAGGAAGCTTTAAAAATTAGTTTAACTCAGACTCTAAACCTTCAACTTGAAACTCAGAAAATTCCTCAAAAGTCTGGCTAATGTCATGCTATGTGTGTTGTACATATGCTGTATGGAAGTTTAAAAAAAGACACCATATTCAAGTGTTACTATTGTGTCTTGTATGTAGTATGTACTTAGTAAATATACTTGATATCTGATAAACTGAAATGATTACTAATTAACAGCAGCTTAATTATGAAGAGGCTTCTCAAAGTACACAACTCCATCATGGGGAAAGGGGAGAATCTCAAATAATTTTGAACAAATTTAATTTGTGAAATTATTATTTTACATAACTCTCTACATGCACTTGAGAAAACTTTGAACAGTATAAGTACTTTCCAGGAAGTAGCCTTTGGAATTACATATACTAACTAACTTAACCTCAAGATGACCCTATTTTTAAAAAATGATAACGATGCAGAGATGTTTAAATAAGATATCCATTGGTTGGGCATTAGTGATGCATGCCTTTAATCCCAGCACTTAGAGGCAGAGGCAGGTGGATCTTTGTGAGTCTGAGGCCAGTCTGGTCTACAGAGTAAGTTCCAGGACAGGCTCCAAAACAATACAGAGAAACCCTGTCTTGAAAAACAAACAAACAAAAATAATAAAAATAAAAATAAAAAAATAAGATATACATAGACTATACCAAGAAAGTAGTAAAATGAAAAGCTAAATCTTGGCCATTGACTCTGAACCACCATAGTACTGCTTATAGGTGTAATTATATCATTTTGATATAGATGGCATTTGAGGTCATTTATATATAAGTTGGACATCTAAACTTTGGCTTAAAATTAACATATAAAATATGGTGTCACATGTTAATTAGTCCCAGAACTCAGGAGACTGAACAGGATTGCTTTAAGTTTGAGGCTACACATAGGGAGGCTACCCATAAATAAATAAATAAATAAAAATAAAAACACCAACCAAAAAAAAAAAAAGTACAACATGCTATCACAGTGCTATGGATACAATCTGTAGTTGGCTTTCTGTAACTGCTGGGCCTATATTCTCAATCAACTGAGAACTGAAAAGTTTTGGAGAAAACATTGTATCACAACCAAGTTCAGATTTTTTTTCTTGTCATTATCCTCTAATAATATAATACAACGATTTACATTACATTACATCATATTTGGTATTAAAAGTAAACTAGATATGATTGAAAGAACATAGGAGGGGCTAGAGATGTAGCTCAGTGGTAGAGCACTTGCCTAGAGCACAAAAGGCCTTGAGTTCAGTCCCTGGGACTGTAAAGAAGGAAATACAGGAAGATGTGTGTAATACAGGCTATGCAAATAAGACTCTCTTATCCAAAACTTCATATCTGCTATCAATGGGGGTGAATATGACATAAAAACCATCTTTTGAATGAGAAACCACAAGAAACTCGACCTTTTATTGAAGTATATTGCTGTAATAGTTCTGTTTTATAGCAGTAATTTTTCATCTCTTACTGTATTGAATTTATAAAGTTGATCACAGGTTTGTAGTTATAGGCGAAAACATAGTATATAGGGTTTATCCATTAGGGGTCTTTTGTAATATATGTCCCACAGATAGGAAGGGATTAATACTCTTGTCAGCTTACACCAAGGACTCAGGCATCCTCTAATTATCATTTTTTTAATGCAGTCTTGATAAATTGCCCAGACTGGCCTCAAATTGACATTCTCTAGCATCACCCTCTGAAGTAGCTGGGGTTATAGGTGAGCTTCCTCAGATTTTAGTCCACAGGGACTCTTGGAATGGACTTTTTAAGGACACTGAGGGACTGCATAATACTACACAACACTGTTTAGGAATACACTGTGGATCTTTGAGACTACTACCCTAGGAAACTCAGGGAGTCCCAGAATATCAGTACTGAAAACTCCTGAGGGGACTCTCATTACTTTATAATTAAGAAACAGAGGTCAACAAAGCCAGTTTACGGTAGGCAGGTGCAGCATTCAGGCAGGTGTTCGTGCTCCACACTCTTGCTCCAGACATTAGGAAGCCTGGTGATGCAGGCCTGTCGTCTGTTGATAGAGTGATTGTCTAATGTACTAAGCTCTGGGTTTGATCCCCAGCACTACACAAATCAGGTGTGGTGGTGCACACCTGTACTCCCAGTATACAGGTAGAGGTAGGAGGATCAAAAATTCAAGGTCACCCTGAGCTATATAGCAGAAAAAGAAGGGATAAAACTATTTGTTTTGCTGGTTCAAAGAGTAAACCAGGCGTGTGTGTAATTACGATTGACAGTGAGAAATGAGGTTAAATATCCAAACCTAACTATTATTTTTCAGGTTTTAAGTTTAGGAAGTGATATTGGCTATAAGCTTTACAAACAACAGAAAAAGCAAACCTGGGAATGAATAGGAACACACACACACACACACACACACTTTAAGCTATTTAGAAACTCAGTTTCACTTTTTCTTTAAGTCAAACTGCTTTAATACTTGGCTTACATGTTACTCTATCAAAAATGAAATAATCACATATAGAAGACTTTCTAAAATAAGTTCCTCTTGGAAGCCCATTTTGGGGCATTGAGTTTTGACTAAATACTCAAGGATGTCAGTAACACAAGGGCTCCATCCATAACTCCTTGAAAAAAACTGAAACCATGGACGCCTTGTCAAATTCAGACAGTTTATCTTGGCACTGGCAAGTACAGCAGTCTCTTCGATGTCTGGAAACGTGTCTAATTACGTCGAACGAGTAACTAAAAAATAGCCCGTGTCCCGGAACAGACAGCTCAGGGTTCACTCGATATCATCCTGAATGACAGGATGGAACCACACCGGGGGGGGGGGGGGGGGGGAAGGGGCGGGGAAGGGGGAAATCAAGCGCAAAAGCGGGAAGAGAAGCCAGCTTCGTTTAAACCAATCCTCCTGCCAGGGCCACCACACCGCTCCTAAAAGTTCTTCTTTTTCTTTATTTTTGTTCCATTAAGTCATCCGGTCCCGCCCTCATCACTTACCTGGCGCAGGGCAGGCTGGCGCTGTCCCAGCGACCTCAAACTCAGCATGCCTCTATCACCCCAATCCGGACACCACTCAGGGGCGACCCCAGACCCCTAAAAGTGCAACCCTAGCCCTCATCACACCCTGGAGTCCCAAGGCCGCACCACGGAGGAGTCCTCTCTCGGGGAGGCGTGACCACCCAGCGCCGCGGACCCCCTGACACCCCGGCGCACTCCTTCGCGGGAGCTACTCGCCCTGTGCACCCCAATCCCGAGGCACTTCAGCAGCGCCCCCTCTCGGGAAACCCCAGCATGACAGCCGCGACGCGCTCACCTGAGCCTAAGGTTGGCCATGAACTCGGGCATGGAGACGGTGTCCATCAACACGAAGTCCGCCTTGCCGAATTCCAGGCTCTCCTGCTCCGCCATGGCGTTCACTCAGGTGGGCGCGCTCGGGCCAGGGCCGGGGCTCACGGCACGCTCGGAAGGGGTCGGGCCGGAGAGAGGCGGCTGCGGCTCTTCAGCGCTCAGGCCGGCACGGCTGTGGACGGGCGAGGCCAGCGGCTTCCGCTCCTCCCGCGGTGGCTGCGGGGTGTGTGGGGGCCGTGGAGGCGAGACGGAGACGGCGGCGGCTGGTCCCGCCTCTAGCCCGGGTCGGGCTGCCCGCGCCCCGCCCTGGCCGCTCGGGCTCCGCCCCACTGACGAGCCCGCCCAGCCGCGGCCCAGCCGCCTCCTCACCTGGGCGTCGCGCACGCGCGGGACGGGGACGCGCTCCAGGCCAGCCGTGGCGGCTAAGCGGCAGCGCCCTCTAGAGACAGGGACGGGCATCTCGCGTGGAGGGATGCTATATAATGATTCTGGGTGATATAGGCCTAGATGCAGTCTTCTTCAACCCCTGCCTAGTGGACACCACCAAAGTTACAAACATAACTTGAGCAAGCAACTTAGGCGCGAAGTATCCATTATTAGTCACACTCTCCGGTGCTCATGTGCTAACCACCCTTGAATTGGTGGCTGAATAAAGACGGCAATAGTAACGATTACTTCAAGGTCACCAAAAAGCTCAGAGCTGTGCTTTAGCAAGCTTAAGTAACTTGTCACACTGCTAGGAAGTGGAGAAGCTGCGACTTCATGGAAGTTTTTTGATTTATGAGTTCCGGAATTCAGCAACATGGTTTACTCTTCCTCCATTCTCAGTGGTCCTTTCCTTTTTTTCTTTCCATTCATCGGAGCGTGCCATCAGACTTTAGCTTGTACTAATTATATATATATATATATCATCTCCTCAGGATGATTACAGGCTTCTAGCATAGAAGACCATGTCTTTTTTTTTTTTTTTTTTTTTTTTTTTTTTTTTTTGATGGTTTTTCAAGACAGGGTTTCTCTAACAGTCCCGGACGGCTTCGAACTCACTGAGATCTGCCTGCCTCTGCCTCCCAAATTCTGGGATTAAAGGCTTGCGCCATCATTGCCTGGCCATGTCCTAAACTTTTTGATATCCACTCCTCTCCACTACCTAACACCTTCCAAGTAGCTATTGTACAGGGTCGTGTGAAATCAATTCCATGGGTTGTAAAGAGTTGTATGTGGTGGTTTCCAACTGAAAGACACACTGGGTAATCTTAAAATGATTTTATTTTCAAACATAAACTATATTTTCCTAGTGTAAATACATTGTAAGGAACATTATCCAGCATCTGCACTTCTTCAGGCCTGTGTCTCTGTTAGAACCATCTTCTGTGCAGAATCTATTAGGAAATCGAGAGGCCTCCAAGACCTGGCCAGGCTTCAGCTCTGTGGTTGAACTTGAGATGAGTAAATTAGACTGAAGGACCTTCACAGGTTTCAGCTGCCAACAACCCACACTTGCCAAGAGAGGGGACAGTGCCTTGATCATTTTCATGGAGCACCTCTGCTGTCAGAAAGCCACCCCGATGCCTGGCACAGTAGAGGTAGCTGGGCTGCAGTTTGGCTACTATGTGTAGCTTGCTTTCTTCATGAGATGTTTGAATCTCATTGTGCTTGTTTGTAGAGGAAGATCTCTGGGATAGATACTTCCAAGGTAGGACTGTCCTGTGCATGGGCCATTTGTGAGAGTGGGCCAGGGCTACAGAGACACTTATACAGAGTGATTCATATCAGTGTACTGTAGTGTAAGCAGGACTGACTTTATAAAAGAAAAGAAACAGATTTCAAAGTCTGTGCCCTAGGAAACAGACCCCAAGTCCTATCATTAAGTGGATATGTATATGTGCTCTATACATGTGTGGTCCCTGAGTCCTGGGGTTATTGAAGATCAGGGAACAATTCTAGGCCTGCAGAGTATAAGAATGGAAACCTGCAGAGTATAAGAATGTGAAGGAAATGGAAGCTACAGCAGGGTGTTGTGTGGTTTCCAAATGGCTAAATTTGGAGAACTTTATTATAATCATTGTCATGAATAGGAGTCTTAAGTCTAAAATGTATGTACAATCTGTGCAAAGATATTCTGTAAGTTCTTGTATAAATCCATATTAGTATAAAGCCTGGCACTTAGACCAATGAGTTTCTTTTTATGAACTCAGAACTATCAAGTGAGGCCCACTATTGACTAATGCAAATCAGCTTCTAGGTTCTGATGTAACTTTTTTTAATGTGACTGAGTTGTACAATATAAAGAGAATTCAGAAGTAATTTGTTCCTTGTACAGTTTTTATATCCAACATTCTGGTGCCAACAGCAGCCTTATTAACCAACCACCACACAAAGCAGAAATGGCAAGGAAAACTAAGTATCAAAGACTATATTTATGCATGCTAAACTAGAGCAGTTTAGCTTACTATGAGTCTTGTTCATCATAAAATGAGAATAGAAACACATTTGAATATGTATGTTTTGTTATGGTTTAAGATGTACTAAGAAAAAGATGAAAGTTTAAATCACCAATAGTGACATGCGGTGACATGAATTTTCAGTTTGATTATCTGAAAAAGACACAATATCACTTACCTGCTAGAAATACTTGAGTTGAATATGGTTGGGAAGAGACATGAAGCAAATCCAGTGCATGGAGCATCCTTCAAACACAGTTGATCAATACCCATCAGAAATACCAGTGGTGTAAAAGACAAAGATGCCAAGATACTGGTCCACATTACAGTTTGTAGTTTTGTTTTTGTTTTAACTCTTTGGCTCTGTGGGAGCCTGCCACCCAGCTCCCAAATTAATACATGGAAAATTATGAATGCCCAGCCTTAGCTTGGTTTGTTTCTAGACAGCTTCTCTTAAAGTATCCCATCTACCGTTTCATTCCGGGCTTTTACCTTTCTCTGTTCCTGTATATCTTTTCTTTCCTTCTTATCCTGTGTCTGGTTGTGTGGCTGGATGGCTGGCCCCTATCATCCTCCTCTCCTCCTTTCTTCTTACCTCCCTCCTGCTGCTTCTCTCTTCTCTTCGTTCTCTGTGCCTGGCAGCCTCACCTATTCCCTCTCCTGCCTAGCTATTGGCCATTCAGCTCTTTATTGGACCAATCAGGTGTTTTAGGCAGGCAAAGTAACACAGCTTCATAGACTTAAACAAATGCAACATAAAACAATGCAACACATTTTTGCATCATTAAAAAATATTCCACTGCATAAACAAATGTAACACATCTTAAAATAATATTCCACAACAAGAGTTAACTAAAGAGACATCACAGGTGAAGGCAATGCATGGTCCTCGAACTAGGAGAAGGAAGCTGTAGGGAAAATGGATGCAATGAACTATATATTAGACATTGTCATTGTAAGTGTTCCTAAATTCAATTATTGCACTGAGGCGTTGTAATAAGTCTTTACTAATAAAAGATATGGTATCTCAAACTGCTTGGTAAGTGGTTTTTAGAACGCCAGCTTTTGGTCAATGTGAACACACAATGTACAGGCCTGCTCAGGCTTTCTGTAATGACTAACCACAACACAAGGTCTGCCGGGATATCAGTGCAAATCAAGTCTGGGTGATCTGCTCTGAATGTTTTCTCTTTCAGTTTCCCTAGCGTTTCTGGTCTGTCTCACCCTCCTTTTATCTTCTTCTGCCAGGACTCTGCATCCCAGCAAGACAATGTTTTTCTTTGTGTGTTTGTTTTTTCAGCATGAATCTAACAAAACAGAAACAAGAGAGGAAAAACACAGCCATGAAGAATATTTAAAGGAATTTAAAGGACATTTTATAGTTATTTAATGAGCTTAAGTTATTATAGAGTCGAAACAGTAACAAACAGTAATTTCATGATGTTATTTGTAGACATACAGAAATCATTTGGGTTCTGTCATAGAAAATATTTCAAACACACTGCCTTCCTTTTAATGAGTAAGCCTGGATTTGAACTAAAAAATGATACATCAAAAGCAGCATATAGACTCTCTTGTAGTTTTGCTTGTTCGTTTTAAAGCAGCGTCTCGTCTCACTATGTAGCTGAGGCTAGCCTTGAACTCAAACTTGTGGCTATTCTCCCAAGTACTGGGGTTATAGTCCTAGGCCACTGTGCTACTTAGTTTTTATTTGTTTATTTTTGTCAATTTGACACAAACTAGGGTCATCTTGGAGAAGGAACCTTAGTTGAGAAAATACGTCATCAGACTGCTCTGTAGACAAGCCTGTGGGGCAATTTCTTGACTAGCTCACTGAGGGTGGAGCCACCACTAGGCAGGTGGTCCTGGTATAAGAAAGCAGGCTGAGCAGGCCACAGGGAACAAGCCTGTAAAAAATACACCCTGTGGTCCGCTTAAATTCCTGCCTTGAGTGTCTTTCCTGCCTTGCCTTCCCTTTAGGATGAACTATATGTTATAAGGTGAAATAAACCCTTTCTCCCCCATGTTGCTTGTGATGTGGTGTTCTGTCACAGCAACAGAAAGCAAACTAAGACAGCCAGCACACCCAGCTTTATCTGCAGTTTCTGAAGCCTGAATTTTCAAAGTAAAAACACATCCCATTCTAGCCAGTTTTGTGTCAGCGTGACACAAACTAGGGTTAACTAAGAAAACACCTGGCTGTAGGGCATTTCCTTAATTAGTGATTGATGGGTGGGGGGAGGGGGGAGGCCCAGCCCATTGTGAATAGTGCTATCACTGGACAGGTAGTTCTGGATTCTATAAGAAAGCAGGCTGAGCAAGCCATGATGAGCAAGCCAGTAAACAGCACTAACCCCATGGCCTCTGCATCAGGTCTAGATTCCTTCCCTACTTGAGTTTTTGCCCTCAGTGCTTTTGAAGATGAAGCATTATATGGGACTGTGAGTGAAATGAACCCTCCCCTCCCAAGTTGCTTTTGGTCATGGTGTTTCATCACAGCAAAAGTAACCCTGACTAAGACACGCTTTTTCTGATGACACTGCTGAATTCTTCTACCTCTAGATCCTTTCTCCCCCTGCAACCTCCACATCCTGTTACTCTGTGGGAGCAAATAAAAGTGGATGAGTGGATGGGAGGGGTCACTGCTGTAAGCCCCCCTGAAAGTTAAAAAAAAAAAAAAAAAGGACTTTAAAATGAAGACAAACATGGTGGAGCACTCTTTTTTGTGTGGTGGTTTGAATGAAAATGACCCCCATAGGCCCTCAGGAAGTGGCACTATTAGGAGGTGTAGCCTTGTTGGAGGAGGGTGGGCTTGGAGGTTTCAGAAGCTCAAGCCAGGCTCAGTTT